ATCATTCCATGAAGATAGTGCTTCGAAGTTTAACGCAAAGTATTTGGCAAACAGATTTGCCACTACGATATCAGAGGATGCTGACGACTTATGTATATAATGACATGTGGGAGGGGATATATGATGTTGTTTTCTTCGAGTTAATAAAATGTCAGAAAAATTTCAGATTGTTAATTAATTTCATTTCCACATCTACTATGTATTGGTTATATTATATAAGACCTTATTTAAGAATTCGAATTCGTATCTCTTATAGAATTTATTTCCGATATTCTTGTATTTTTTAAGCAAAGCAGACGGTGAAAACAACAACTCCAGCCAAAGAGACATAACTTAAAATAGCCTTGGGCTCCGTAGTCGCAACAAACTTGCCGGCATGTAGATATGTGATGATTGGCAAGACTTGGAGAGTATCCGAAACAGGTGAAACTCCAACGACTGTTTTTTTATACTCTTGCAGGGTATTATAATTTCAGTCAGAAGTTTGCAACGCAGTGAAAGAGACGTTTCCGACCCTATAAAGTATATATACTCTTGATCAGCATCAACTGCCTAGTCGATCTAGCCATGGCCGTCTGTCCGTCCGTCTGTCCGTCTGTCCGTCCATCTGTCTGTTTCTACGCAAACTAGTCCCTCAGTTTTGAAGCTATCTGAATGAAACTTTGCATATAGTCTTCTATATACTCTCACTGCTATATATGTCGGAACAGGCCGGATCGGAAGACTATATCATATAGCTGCCATACAAATGTTCGTTATAACTTGGCTGTTTTTCAACATTTTTGCATCATTTTTAAGATACGGCCAAAATATATTATTTCAGATTTTTGGTTTTAATTTTATGAAAATCGGACCACTATATCTTATAGCTGCCATAGGAACGATCGGGAAATTAATTGAAAAATATTATAACTTCGTTGCTTTTCAACGTATTTTCATCTACTCTGAAATATGAGCTTCTGTTATTATTTTAGAATTTTGGTATAAATATTATGAAAATCGGACAATTATATCATATAGCTGCAATAGACACGATCGGTAAATGTAGAGAAAATGTAATGCTGGGAATGTAAAACTGTAACTGTTAAACTGTATACATAATAAGTATAGGTAAAATATAATGAAACTCTGTTTTGTGTGTGTCTTCAGCATTAGAATTTATAATATAAATATCAAAACCAATCTGCAAGGGTATACAAACTTCGGCGTGCCGAAGTTAGCTTCCTTTCTTGTTTGTTATTGTTATTATTCTTCCTCTTCCTATGAAGAACTTTTACAAACTCGTCTCTCTCAGCATTCGGGGGTCGTAGACCTTGGCACTGGACCGACGATAAAAAAGCAGCGGCAGCATACGATTGAGACACTACCGTTGCATTAGCGGCTTGCCCTTGGCGAGGCCTACCGGGGACGTTGTTGGTATGTTGGATTGAGTCCAAGCTTCAGAGAATTTAAAATTTAGATGCTGGTACCAACACTCTAGATTTTTATACCCTTGCAGGGTATTATAATTTCAGTCAGAAGTTTGCAACGCAGTGAAGGAGACGTTTCCGACCCTATAAAGTATATATATTCTTGATCAGCATCAACAGCCGAGTCGATCTAGCCATGTCCGTCTGTCCGTCTGTCCGTCTGTCTGTCTGTCCGTCTGTCCGTCTGTCTGTCTGTCCGTCTGTCCGTCTGTCTGTTTCTACGCAAACTAGTCCCTCAGTTTTAAAGCTATCTTAATGAAACTTTGCATATAGTCTTCTATATGCTCTCACTGCTATATATGACGGAACGGGCCGGATCGGACGACTATATCATATAGCTGCCATACAAATGTTCGATATATTTTTCGAAAAAAATTTATAACTTTTCTGTTTTTCAACATTTTTGCACCATTTTTAAGATATGGCCATTTTATATTATTTCTGAATTTTGGTAAAAAATTTATGAAAATCGGACGACTATATGATATAGCTGCCATAGGAACGATCAGGAAATTAATAGGAAAAAAATTATAGCTTCGTTGTTTTTCAACCTATTTTTTTCTACTCTGAGATATAAGCTTTTTTTATTATTCTAGAATTTTGGTATAAATTTCATAAAAATCGGGCAACTATATCATATAGCTGCCATAGAAGCGATCGGTAAATGCATAAAATATGTAAAGCTGGGAATGTAAAACTGTAACTGTCAAAAATTTTTCAAAAATTTTTTAGTGCGAGTCATTAGCTACAACATAGCCATCGCACTGCCACAGTATATTTAGTAAGAGTTAGATTGCATCAGCAGGCAAATCAACGCAGGCAGTATGAAATACCCGAGGGCAAAGAGAAGCGCAGCGAACAGCCTCTTTGTAGCGAAGCTGGGATGCCGAAACTTCTAAATTACACTTGGCGCACAACATAGCGATAGCGATCATATCTCGTTCGAACGCTTGAAAGCTAGTCTACGACTATTCGAAAACTATCCAAAACAATCAGTCTTCAGGAACCCCCGGAATACTAACTGGGGAAAGTTTAAGGAGACCATCGTGACAAGGCTCGCGATCTTTCCTGGCATAGTAAAATCCGTGGAAGACAGAAAATTCCCTAGAGACCCTCTCCAAAGAACTGCGAAATGGTTTCCACGCACCAGGCCACCCAGGTGAAATAAGGACATTACACTTCGATGCAACGCACTTAAAAATATTCTTCAAAACAGCCAAGCAGGCGAAAGATGATACCATCAATGAGGAATACAAAGTCCCACTAAGGTACTACAAGAAAGGAAATATGCAAGGCGCAGAGAAACTCGTGGAGAAACTTTTGCTCCAATATAGAGAATACCCCTGAAACGGATAGACTCCGAAAGCTGCTATCGAAGCAGCCAATAATGCAGAGTCAGCTTAAACGCGACGACGGTCAGTGGACTGAGCGCAGCGAAGAGGCCTTAACGGCTTTAATGCAAGCTCATTTCCCAGGATACACTGAGGTATCCCATGCCAATAAGCACCAGGACCTAGCAACTGCAGAAGGGGATCTCCCAAAAGATCTAATATCCTCTAGTAGAATCCACTGGGCTATAAAGTTCTTCAAGGGGATAAAAGCACCGGGACTAGATGGATGCATTGGAAGACCTCTCGGATTGTCTTCGTGCCCAAAGCAGGAAAGTACAGCCAAGGATTGCAGACCAATCCTTATTTCTACTTAAAATGCTGGTAAAGCTGGACTTATACATCAGGAACGATGTAGGGAGACTACTGTCGACCAACCAGCACGCCTACACGAAGGGAAAATCAGTGGAGACGGCACTACATTTGTTAGTAGCCACTATTAAGAGAGCCCTACATAAGAAGGAATATGCTCTCGGAGTGTTTGTGGACATATGCTGGGCAATTAACAACGTAACCGTAATAATGGAGCGCCTAGGAGCGACCAACACTCCGCCATCAGCATCTGAATGAGAAACCTTTTAAGATGTAGGCGAGTACAATTCGATTGGAGCATCGCCTCCATTGTGATAGGAGCGCACAGAGGAACGCCACATGGGAGTCTTCCCATCGACCCTCAGCTCAATTATGGTATTAACACGGACAAGACGGACCTCATTCTCTTCACCAAGAGATACAAGGTGGATCCCCCCCACCCCAAAATCGACTAAATTAGGCTGATCCAGAAAACACAGGTCAAATACCTTGGCATTGTTCTAGACAGCAAGCTGTCATGGAAACTCAACATACTGGAAAAAAGCCACATAAACCTATACGCATCCAAGAAGATGCTTATCAGCATGGGCCTCTCACCCGCTCTTATTATGGGGTTTACTTACTTCTACATATTATTGTTACGGTTTTAAAGTTACAGTTTTACATTCGCACTTTTCTCTATATCTACCGTCCGATCTGGCCCGTTCCGACATGTATAGTAGTGCGAGTATACAGAAGACTATGTGCAAAGTTTCATTTAGGTAGCTTTACAACTGAGGGATTAGTTTGCGTAGAAATATGGAAAAACGTGGAAAAACACGCACAAAAAATGTATAAACATAAACAAGAAGCCTAATGAAGACTGAAATTAAATTTTATTAAATTCTGTTTTCTCACCAAAATCAATTAATATTACAAAAAAGGTATTCTGCGTTCTTTTAATAATACCTTTAAAAATAAAATGGTAAAAAAAAAGTATATTAAAACAAGAACTTCGGCACGTCGAAGTTTGTATACCCTTGCAGATCGCAATTGGATCATTAAGAATCCAGCCATTCTGGTTAAATAATTAAAATGAAAATATATACAATTTGTATATTTATACATAGCATAAATAAAATGCTGAGAACACACACAAAACAGAATTTCATAACATTTTACCTATACTTATTATGTTTACAGTTTGACAGTTACAGTTTTATATTCAAAGGATCAAAGGGAGAGGAAGTAAGGAAGCTAATTTCTGCGCTGCGAAGTTATTAAACCCATGCAGTTTGTAATTAGGTAGTAATGAATCAATTCATGTTGGCCAAATAAAAAAAAGAAACAAGATTATTTATTAAATGTTTTATAATGTATTCCATAAAAACATGTATAATATTAATATTATCAAAATATATGTTTAAAAACAACGGAGGTATGGCAACTTTAATTAAATGTACCTATTTATTTTATATTTGCATTCTAATTTTCCTGTACACTTAGCGATCGTTCCTATAATATATAATATTTTCATCCGATATGCATACAATTTAAATCGACATTCTGAATATATGATTTCCGATCCGGTCTGTTTTTATTGATGTAAGTACTAATGAAAATAGAAAAAAGACTATGTGCAAATGTTCATTAAAATATCAATAAAACGGAGAGCCTAGTTGTTATCCAGTCATATCTAGATCTATACATTTACATACGAATGCGATATCATATATAGCTTCTCTCAGTACCTTTTTTTTTCATTTTATTTTAGTAAGTATTTTTTTAACTTTTATATACTCTACTAGTTTAATCACAATCACAATGCTTGGTAAATCATGCTTATACATACCTGGCTATAAGTCCCTTAGCCAGCTCCCAAAAAGGTATTTTGTGAGACTTTGTACCACCTACAAAAAGGAAAAAATTGTCATGTTTTTAAATAATATCAAGTAATTTTAGGAATGTTTTTTAGTTATAGTTACCCTGTGTTGCCATTAGGACGTCTGCAGAGAGTGTACTGCAGGTGCAGATCATCAAAAGCATAGCGCCTATTCGAAGCATTTTTCTGTAAGTGGCATTTATAATATGTAAGTGAATTTTATATTTTGTATCCGTACATGGATTTAAAGCCGTTTGACAAGACGTCGGACCAGTATTTCGCAGACTGCGAGCAATTCGCTTGGATTTTTAAATTTTATACCTATATGACCAGTTTCATGCGCATGCTACTTAAGTCACTTAATGGAGCGTTTACTACACGACTCGAAATTTTAATGTACTTATAATTGATGTGTTTATGTTAAGAGGAATTTTTTAAATACGCACAATGTCATTAAGAAGCAATTCTACGGAAGTTAACTCCTCGTGGTATAATTTCATAAAAGGTTAATTTGTATGTGGCTTCTGAATATAATATATCAAATAAATTCTGAAAGAGAAACTCTTCTGAGCGTTGAGAATCATTGATGATGAGGTTCAGGCTACCGTTACTAATGTTAAATCTCATTAGGATTCTGTGAACTGGAAACAATAATGTATGATGTAATCGGACTTCTAAAAGGTTATTTTAAAACTCAAATAATATGTTATAACACCAAAATCAGTAATCAGTAGTTCAGAGAGTTTTTGATTTTACATCTTTTTACCGTCGATTAAAAACACCATTTAACGAAAAAGTAAATTTCATCAAAATATTATGTAATGCAAAATATTGAAAGATAAAGACTAAATTCCGGTTTGTCTACACCTAAAGTTCGATGGTCGGCTGCAGCGTCTGGTTTGATTAATTTTATATATATCTCAGGGCATTATTTTCTAAAATATCAAGTATATTACAATATAACAAAACGTATTTCTTACAGACGAATCTTATACCCTCGCGGAGTCTAATAATTTTGGTCAGAATTAAGCACAGAAGGAGTCTTTTCCGATACTATAAAGTCGAACAGCGTCAACAGCCGAGTCGATCTGGCCATGCCACGCAAACTAGTCTTTCTCTCAAGGAAACTTAGCATATAGTCTTTTGACTATTCTCTATATCGGATGATCGGAAATTTTGTTGAAAAGCGTAAATAAATTAGCAAAAATTTCTATATTTCAGGTTTTATCCGAATATGTTGTAAATCATCAAATTTCATTACGTTTATTGACAATTTTTATTTTTACAATTTTATATTTACAGGTTACATTAGCACTTTTACATTTACAGCTGTAATTTCGGAAATGACTGTCACTGCGTACAGTGGATACTTTTGATGCCACGACGCACAGTAGCGCCTTTTCTCATTTAGCGTTGCAAAAATCATATCTTTTAAACCAAATAAGGTAATCGAATAATTTAAACGGCATTGCACAGGTAATTGTTGTAAAATGTATATATGTACTGCATAAAGTACCACGCCCACAAATACGCCTTTTTAAAGGGTATCAAAGTGGAAAAATATTTTTTTTTCAATGAAAACAATTTTTAAAAAATATTTTTTATTTAATTTTTTATGTTTATTTTAATGTATTTGCTCAAATAAAAATAATTTGAAAACTGAAAAAAATTTTTTTTTGTTAATTCGAAGTGTAACCGCCACGCGCTACAGTTAGTATATTTCTTGAAATGTATGAAATTGTGTCGGTATTTTGGTATATTTTACCCTGAGTTGTTTTGGTTTTTTGCGTTGCATTTCCGCAGACGCAGCTCGACGCAGCCGATGAAAGTTAATTCTGATCCAGGAAAGATTCACGGAACTTGTAGTCCTAGTGTAGTCAGTGGCTTTCATTGGCGTCAGAAGATATAGACTACTTTAGGCAGAAAAAGGTGAAAAAAATGGACACCTGGCAGGTAGCGATTTACCTGTAGAAGCCCAAACCAAAGTGTCGTTTTTTTAGGTTCTTTAATAGTTTATGAATGTATCTATCATTTAAAGTAAAAACCATGACCATTGGTTTTATGGTTTTTTTGTAATATTACCTGAAAGTCGACCAATTTACACATTTATTTTGTATGATGCAAAAAACGAAACAAAGTTCAACTTTAAATGCTCATAACTTCTACAAAAAAAAATCTTAAAATTGATTTTATTGCAGATTCTGAATCCTTGTTAAATTTCCTGTCGAATAAGTATGGTTAAAATCGTTTTTGCGAACATGACTTTTTTGATTTTTGCAACGCTAATTGTTCGAGAGGCGCTACTGTGCGACGAAGACAAATTTAAAAGAATGGTAAATTAAGACTGTAAATGTCAAAATGATAATTTAAGACTGTAGTTGTAAAACAATAATTATACAGTTAAATATGATCGAAATTGGCATAACTTCGTATTTTAAACTTAATCGAAATCTAATAAATATATCAAATCAGTGTTTATTATACCCTTGCAGGGTATTATAATTTCAGTCAGAAGTTTGCAACGCAGTGAAGGAGACGTTTCCGACCCTATAAAGTATATATATTCTTGATCAGCATCAACAGCCGAGTCGATCTAGCCATGTCCGTCTGTCCGTCTGTCCATCTGTCCGTCTGTCCGTCTGTCCGTCTGTCTGTTTCTACGCAAACTAGTCCCTCAGTTTTAACGCTATCTGAATGAAACTTTGCATATAGTCTTCTATATGCTCTCACTGCTATATATGTCGGAACGGATCGGACGACTATATCATATAGCTGCCATACAAATGTTCGATATATTTGTAGAAAAAAAAATTATAACTTTGTTGTTTTTGAACATTTTTGCACCATTTTTTAGATATGGCCATTTTTTATTATTTCAGAATTTTGGTAAAAATTTTATGAAAATCGGTCGACTATATGATATAGCTGCCATAGGAACGGTCGAGAAATAAATAGATAAAAAATTATAGTTTCGTTGTTTTTCAACGTATGTTTATCTACTCTGAGATATAAGCTTTTTTTATTATTCTAGAATTATGGTATAAATTTTATAAAAATCGGACAACTATATCATATAGCTGCCATATAAACCGATCGGTAGATGTAGAGAAAATGTAAAACTGGGAATGTAAAACTGTAACTGTCAAACTTTAAACATAATAAGTATAGGTAAAATGTAATGAAACTCTGTTTTGTGAGTGTTTACAGTATTTAAATCTATAATATAAACATCGAAACCAATCTGCAAGGGTATACAAACTTCGGCGTGCCGAAGTTAGCTTCCTTTCTTGTTATTTATAAATATGACAGGTAATTGTTGTAAACATTATACATATATGTACTTCTCAATGTGCCACGCCCAGATCCCCTCCTTTATAGGGTATTAAGGGGGTCTTCTCATTGGGCAACTTTTTTTTTCGATTTTTTTTTTTTTTTTTCATTTATTTATAGCTTGGGATGGTGTGTATATGTCCCCAAAAGGATTTTTAGAAATTCGAAATACTTTAGAAGATACAGACTTTTTTGTGAAGCAAGATCTATGCAAAATGAGCTTTTTTCAAACTTCAAACGCGTTTATCTCGAAACCACGTTTTTCGAACTGGCGGCCATGATATCTCCAGTTCAACTCAACCGATTTACATGAAACGAAGTGGAATCGACGCAGAATTGTCACCATTCTCGGCCCGAAATCGAAATTTTTTTTTTGAATAGCCGCCATTTTGTTTCAAAAAATTAAAAAAAAAATCTGTTCCGTCACCCGAAAATGACATCTATTCTGATTATAACCCCGTTTTTATTTTTCATTTCGGACGCTCTGGAGACCCTGAATCGTGGCCGCCAGGACGACACCTTTTTTTTCGACTACCAAGTTTGAAGTCTCATTATTCTTTGAACAACCCTCGTATCGAGGCAAGAACAACTTTTTTAGTTACTCTAAACATTTTTGAATATAATAAATAAAAAAAGTTTTCAATTATTCTTTGCGTTTTCAAATAAGAATTTTTTTAAAAAGGGTCCAAAAAACGGCTTTTGAATGAGAAGACCCCCTTAAAGGGAATAAATCGTTTTTTTTCATATAAAAACTAATTTTCCAAATTTAATATTTTTTTGCATTATATTTTTTGGTTTGATTTATTTAAAATTATTTGGAACACGGAAGAAACATTTTTAATTTGAACCATTTTATTCTGTTATGTCTGTTCGTGACTTTACATGCCGCAGAGATGCAATAAATGGGTCAGATGATGCAGTTGACATGTTGAACAGGTTTTCATTGAAGCTGCAGTTGGTAAACTTTTTGGTAGATTTCGGTATATTGTACCCTGGATTGTTTTGGCGTTTGTTCGAGAGGCGCTATTGTACGCAGTAGCACTTTGGTCCAACCGACCACATTTATCGGTCAAAATTAATACGTCTATTAATTTAAGGGATATAACTGAAAACTTTACCAATCCTAATATTTTACTTATACGATGATACTGGATCAAAATTATCTGTATCAAGAAACTATATCCCATAGCTTTTATAGGAAAGATTTAGAAATTTTTTAGATACATTTACGAATTTTCGGTTACCTCAAGATTATGTTATCTTAACGAAAATTAATAATTTATATACACTTGCAGGGTATTATAATTTCAGTCAGAAGTTTGCAACGCAGTGAAGGAGACGTTTCCGACCATATAAAGTATATATATTCTTGATCAGCATCAACAGCCGAGTCGATCTAGCCATGTCCGTCTGTCCGTCTGTCCGTCTGTCCGTCCGTCTGTCCGTCCGTCCGTCTGTCCGTTTCTACGCAAACTAGTCCCTCAGTTTTAAAGCTATCTGAATGAAACTTTGCATATAGTCTTCTATATACTCTCACTGCTATATATGTCGGAACGGGCCGGATCGGACGAATTTATCATATAGCTGCCATACAAATGTTCGATAAATTTTTAGAAAAAAAATAATAACTTGGCTGTTTTTCAATATTTTTGCATTATTTTTGAGATATTGCCATTTTATATTATTTCAGAATTTCCGTAAAAATTTTATGTAAATAGGACGACTATATCTTATAGCTGCCACAGGAACGATCGGAAAATGAATAGGAAAAAAACTATAACTTCGTTGTTTTTCAACATATTCTTATCTACTTTTAGATATGAGCTTCTTTTATTATTTCAGAATTTTGGTAAAAATTTTATGAAAATCGGACAACTATATCATATAGCTGCCATAGAAGCGATCCGTAGATGTAGAGAAAAGTAAAGCTGAGAATGTAAAACTGTATCTGTCAAACTGTAAACATTATAAGTATAGGTAAAATGAAGTGAAACTCTGTTTTGTGTGTGTTTTCAGCATTATAATTTATAATATAAATATAAAAACCAATCTGCAAGGGTATACAAACTTCGGCGTGCCGAAGTTAGCTTACTTTCTTGTTTAAGAAATCGAATCACGAATTCCTATCGTTTATGTAAAAAGGGAAGTGATCGAAGCAGGCGGAGAGCTCCGAAGTGACGGCAGCAAAGTAGGAATAGGGAGAATAATATTCATTGAGTT